ACACTAAAATAGGACGTGTAATTAAATCTGACGAGGACTCCGCAAAACTACAGAAAGATCTAAACAAATATTTTGAATAGTCTGAAAAATGGCAGATGAAATTCAATGTGGACAAAATGTAAAGTACTCAGTATACTGTAGGAGATGTAAACAGGGAAACCAGATAAATGCGAGATGAAATGAAGAATACATGAAACCAAGACTGAGATTGAGAGCAATGAGATAAGTAGTGAATCTTGTCAAATGTATTTGCTCAAGGTTGTATAAAGTACTGGCTCATACAAAGGATTTTTAGTTACAAGACGAAAGCAGGCCAATCTCAAACCCATATTCATGCCGTGAGACCTCACTGATTGTAGTTCATCCATGCCCGACACAGAATGGATATAGAATCCCTGGGAGAAATCAGAGGAGAATGACAAGACAATCGTAAGTATGAACCTGAGTACAGAGACAAAGAACACCCAAGCACCCTTGAGAGACGAGATGAGGGAAGAATGATCGAGGTATAAATGGAATCAGGGCTAAACAAAAGGACATTACAAAGTAATCAGACTATCCAACCAGGACATAACCTTGTAACAATGAATTTTAAATTAGACAAATTTAGATTTTAAGCACTAAATAGGGTAAAAAATAGTCAAACAGTAGGACGAGGGAAGAAATAAGTTAACAACACTCAACACCAAATCAATACGCTGGATAGCTTCCAAACATAGGTTGGATGGATATAATGAGCAATAGGGTTAAAATAAATGGACGCAGTATGACCTACTCAATTTCTCCATTTCCTTCTGTTCTTATCTTAACCTCATCCCCAAAATAAGTTAAGGTCATTAATCTTTAGAGTGAAATATCGCTAAGTTTCTAGGAGTAATCCAATGAGGTCCAAGGAAAAAACATGGGGATATTGCTTCTCTCTCTACACTGAGTAAATCGCCTGAGAAATGTAAGAAATGACTGTAATTATGTTGGAAGCACGGAGTTAAATTAAAAGATTCTGATAACTTGTAATCAGTTTTGTTATGACATGCTGAAGCCATTCAAGGTATTGTACTTGGAACTGTGTAATATTCACTTTATTTAGATATAATGAAATATGCAATTATAAACATCCTTGGGTTACTCAGCTGCCTAGAGCTCCAATATGTGTGCAACTGTATGATGGGTATATTTGGACCTTCCTCTAAAGTGTTCCATGTTCCAGCAATTAAAGACAAAAATAGTTCTAGTGTGTGGCCATATACCATTATCTATACATATACTTCACATGTTGAAGTGTTCTTTTACATATAAAATACATAATGCCAGAGGTACTGTATTTTAGCTGTCTACAACTTAGTGACAACATCTTGAGGTCTATTGATCATGTTACTTGCTCTATATATAGCGATATTCTTCCTGATTACAGTTACAGTATTAAGTTTCTTTATGAAAGCACAGATCATATTCTACAGTATTTTATCTACTTGTGTTCTAGGTGGCCCACCACGAGAAGGAACCCACAACAGTTTCATCTTATTTCCTCGCAGCAAGTGATCATACATAATGTTGCATTCATATTACTGCTGAGATGCTGAGAGTGCATTACTCACTGGCTAGGTAACAAGGAGAGGAAACCACCCTCCCTTAGCCTAGGAATCAAAGGAAGGACCTACAGCAAATCAAGAGGCAATTCTTCTACCATTGCATGAAACAACCAGCATCATCTCCTAACACACACACACATGCCACTCGTCCTAGATATCCAACCTCCACCTGACTCCTGCTAAATCATTCACCATGACCTTAATTTTCCCCTATCAGTACAGTGCCTGATGTTTATTAGTTGCTATCAATTTCTCTCTATTTTCTCAGTATTTGTCATATTCCTTCTCTTCTCAACATCAAATTCTTGAAAAGTCCATTAATACTTGCATTATAATAACCATTAAACAGGTTAGACATTATTTTGTGTCATTAACATATTAACAAGTCTTAAACTACTTATTACAGCAAGAATGGAACTGGGATGATACCGTATATTGATCTAATTGTTCTCAGCAGCCATATCTCTCACATTAAAGAATGGATTTCCTCAAACTTGGCACAAGGTGAAACAATATTTCCATATGAACATTATTCTGTTTATAATCAGATAAATTATTAACAACACACTAACATTCTTCATTACATCCAATTCAGATGTTGACTGAGTCATCAATGATGTCCTCTTAAATACTAGTACCTGTACTCTAAGGTGCAGAAATCTGCTTTCCATTTAGCTCTTCTTGACCTTTCAAAATTTCTTCCTTTCTGTGTAATATCTCCATCTCCTCCTGCCACCATACTTCTACAAAACCACAGCTTTTCATTTACATTTATATAAAATTTTCCTTTATAAGATTTGTAATTTTTCTCTCCTCAATGTTAAAGCTATTGTCTTGGACGTTCTGAATGCTTCCCCCAATGTTTCTGCCTTCCTCATATTTACTGTAAGTTTATTACAGTACACCTTCACCTTCAACTTAAAGAGGGAATGCCCAAATAATAATGTAAATACCAGTGATAAACCCTCCCAGTACTATTGCCAGACTGTTTCATACAAGTCCTGTCCCCATATTAGTAGGTTCCTTAATAGGAATGGTCCCTCCTCCCCATGTATACAACAATACAGTACAGTATGTTAAAAATTCTACCGTCACTCCTGATCATCAAAACGGATGTGTGTTTTGATCATGGTAATGAATATTGTACAGCACAGCACTGTATAAGTAATTCAACTTACCTAATTAGGGGCTTCAGTATTTGCAATTCTTTCTTTACATCTTTTGGGCTGACATGTAATATACATCGATAATGCAAATAAAATGCAAAATTTTCAATGTGTTTACAGAATGAAGCCAAACAACTTACTTCAGCTTACAGAGGTTAAACACATTAATATTTCTCTAAGCCCTTGGACTGGGGCCAGCAGCTGGTGTGTTTGGTTACCAGTCACTGGATGAAGCCTGGCCAACCCTTCATTAGTTGCTGGGACTAATTGTTGATTACCTTTATCTCTCACTAAAACACATCTCATATTTTGAGCAGTCTATCAATACTGCAGAAACAGGTAAACAAAACATAACAAAGCTAAGTACAGTACTATACCTAGATAAAAAAGAAAGCCCACATAGATGGGCATTGCAACTCTGGCTAACATACTAAACTGCTACCCTTTAAAAATTAAATACTTTTTCACCTGTTAATAATGCTCATTAGAAATGTAGCAGTCATTCTTCTGAGTCAACCAAAACTGAGAGTGTTCATTATTATCATAACAGACTGTATTCCCACAATCTAACCTATAATTTTCCTATTGAGCTGTCACAAATAGTCAACTAAAAGCCTTAATTGAGAGACCGCTTTACAAATACTGTATTCACTTTAATGACTACCAACTCTCCTTATACAGAGTGTCCAACAGTACCAGCTCCATTAGCGGACGGATTAGACCCAACTACCTGTACAGGAACTGACAGATTAACACACCATAAGAAGAAGCTATCGGAGACACCCACCCAGGGACTCTCCTGGAGTAATAGTGGCACCATATTCCTCAACTCTGCCTCTCAAAAACTCAAGACAGATAGATAGGCTCTTCTCAACTCCTCTGCTTGAACATGAACAAACTACAGCTTCTATGCTGAAAACTGAACTCATTCATTTATCTGGGAAGGATCAGTCCATGACAAAACACATTTGAGCACATTACTACAAGCCAGACGTTCTCTGGGATCAAACGAACACACATCATGATGGACCATTCCTACAACATGGTACAATCTTACACACCCAGCCAACACAAAACATCATGTCAACTCATGTAAATATTAACAAGTCCGAAATCAATCCTACATGATAAAATTTACTATATGCCATAATAAGGTTCACAAGAACCTGTACAAAAATCTGACTTTACAATCCACTAACATACATTTACAGTACAAAGAGAATCAGGCAAAACCTAGGGTATGAACTAAATATTGACAGAAATGTTGACAAATATGGAGAAAAATCTCCTTAACCAATCTCTACAGGCTGCTTTACCTGGGTTATGAAGCCTTGGAGCACACCCTAAAATATGTCCCCAACAGAACAATATGAGGCTGTAACTGAAGTTGTAACTCCAGTCTTAAGAGGAAGAGGGTTTACAGGAAGACCTCAATGCTTTTATTGAAGAACAACAATCCAGGATTAACCAGCGAAGAGGCCCCATGAAATGTTTGGTTATATTCAAACACTAAAAAAAAAGGTTAGCAGTAACCAAACGAAAATAATACTGCACACTGTGAAATAGGAGTTCCTCTCTGGACACAGCAAGTGGAGTTATGCTGCCCTAACGTAACAACACACTAGCGGTTATTAGCAAATGAGTAAAAAACTTTTGAAACAAAAACAACAAAGCAAAGTCACTGTTCTATGGTACTGTTCTGACATAAGGACTGCATGGCATCAAATACTGTATGTAAGTATACAGTAATGTATTAAGATGGTGAGAAAGCTGTTACCTCCTGACAGATGTTACCAAGCAAATAAATGTTTGGTCAATGTAGAACAATGGCTAAACAGGGTCAACACCTGGACTCACAGTGTATGGTTGAGCCTGAAGTAACAGATACTTATGGTGTTGTAACTGAGGGTTGTCCAAGTCTCTGACCTTAATGGCTACTTTTGCTCCCAAATACTGTATCCTTGTTTTTAAGGATATGACCACAACCGAGATATAACTAACTGATAGATATATCAGCTAATAAGATTCAGGACTGAACTGGGTTTCCAACCAACACACTTGCTGGGTAATTACACTAATCATTTGGTCCAAGTATAACAACATATACAAAGTACTATAATGATAGTAAAAATATATACAGTACCTGAAATGCTATCCCTTTTGTTTAAACTACCAGCTTGGGTATACCAGGAGACTATCCTCCCTGTACTGTAATACAACATTCCTAAGAGTTAACTGTACTCACCTCTGGAAGGTGGATGATTCATAAGGATGGCCAATGGACACTCATCATCATCAAGGATATATTCTTTTTGTGGTGAAGTTGCTCCTCCATAACCATCATCATTTCCTATGACAGTCTGCAAAAGAAAACAAACGGTGAAATCTATTGTCAAATTTGTCCACCAGTAAAGAATTGACAATTCACAGGTCAACATGACATCTAAATGATAATTTTAAAAACATATTCTTTGATTCCTATAAGAGAGAACAAAGTGAAAGTGTTGTAACAAATGTATTCTACTATACTATGGTGTTCTTCCACAACAAGGCCTAAAGATATCTAAAAAACACACACACACACACACACACACACCCACGGCTTCTTCACACAGTATGTCCTCCACACAACATTTCCATCTCCTCCTTCATACCGCCCACCTCTAAATTATAAGGACATGTTCCACTATAAGTTTGTCATTTATTCTCATTAGTGATCACCTTTATCTTCATACAAGAGAACTACACAAGCTTTCTGCCACTCTCTTTGTGCACTTCCCTCTCTCCTTCATTACCTCTACTGCACACTCTTATCATCCAGTTTATCCTTTTTCCACCTCCCATCCCTAACTATTTGCATATAGGTTTCTCTCTCTGCTGAATAAAATCGTCTGGTATTAATCATAAGTAATGTCTCATAGTCAAAGGGATAACAGTTCAGCAGTTAACCTGTCCACTTCTGGTGTCTTACTATTCTTAAGTTTGTTTACATCATCTCTTCTCCTCCTCAATTATTATACTTTATTCTTTCACTTTACAGCCTTTCAATCCTCCTCATCCCAAACACAACAACTCTGGCTCATTTCTCACTTGTTGGTGTCACCTCTGAGGTGAATAAAATCATCTAGCGCTAATAAAATTAAATATTAAACCTGGTGTCTCCAGAGTGAAGGGTTAATATCAATAGTTGTTCAAAATATTTTCCCAATAAACACTTTTTTTCCACCACAGAATATCCCTTATTTTCAATTGACATTTTCATTTCCTATGGTTTCTCACCCTATTCATTTCCCTCTAAAACCTTTAAGACATTCTCTCCCCAACCATTCTCTGCTCTCCGTCTGCACTCACTCATCAATCTCTTTACTCTCCTCCCAATACTCCAGGACAAAGAAGGACAGGAATATTATGATAGCTACACCAACATCCCCAATCTATCTGGTATGTCTCCAATTGTTTCATTTATTCTATGCCATTAACATGTAAGCATCACAGCCATTTGATGATTAAAGTATTTTAGAAAGATCTTCATAGGACAACCTATTTTTAAAAGTATAATAATTTAATATACTTATAGATAGATGCACTACTGAAATAAATATCCTGAATGAATCCATAGCAACTAGATACATGTTATAGAAATAAGCTACAATGGTACACAAATATTTTTCCTTTAATTTTCTCTAAATCCTATAAGTCTCTTTCAACTTTACAGTAGAGCAGGTCACACAGGACCACCTCAATAATTAATGATCACAACAACTATTCAAAAATCCCTTAACCCCTTCACTACTGGATGCCACTTATAAAATCTTAATGTACTTTGTTAACACCAGCCATTTTATTCAGCTCAGAGGTGACCCTAGATACAAGGAGTTAGCAGACTATCTCTACTAACCCCTTCACTACAGGAACGCCACTTTAAAAATTTTATTTGGATACCGCCAGGCGTCTTTATTCAAAACAGAGACCCCTTAGTACCCGAGGGGTTAATAAAGACAAAGCCAACACACGTGATCTGCCACACTTGATTTTCCTTGGCAACTCAAACACCTCCACTTGGATGAGTAACTGACCCTGATATGCTATAGTAACACCATGATGCTCAAGGATCACATCTACCTCAAGGTGAGAGGTTAGAGAGGTACGCCAGCAGTGTGGGAAATATTATATACTGTATGTGGTAGAGCCTTCCAACAGTTAGATAATAAATGAATGGAAGAGAAAGTATGCAAGGTAATTCAGATCTGAAAATGGCCCCACCATATCAATAAGGCTCTCATAAGTTTGACAATACAGTATTTTCTCGCTTTAACAAACTAATTCGAGCCGCCCCTTTCCGTTAAATCGAAATCTCCACTAAATTGAATTTCCGTCAAATTCAACACCGAAAGCGCGGCTTGGCAAGTGGGGTTTGTTTACATACGCTCAGTCTTTGTCCTTCCGCCATCGTGTGGATTGTTCACTGCTACCTCTCGGTCAATTAACTACTGTGTTTAGACATCATGCCGAAAGTCTCTCAGAAGTCTCAGAATGGAAGTGGTGTGGGGGAGAAAGTCAAAAGAGTGCGGCCATCAGTTGGAAAAAGTTTGGAAATTATAAACAAATTTGAAAACAAACACCGAATCCCCTAGTTAAGGTAAGCCACGAATAATGTTTCTAATATTTCTATGTACATATCATGTGTCTGAAGGGTCTCCGTGGGTGTGAGCGTAACGGAATTAATCTCGACTTAGCCAACTAGTTCACTAAATTGGGTGAAAATAACAGAAAAAATTCCTTTCACTAAATCTAGAGTTCGTTATATCAGATTCCGTTAAATCGAGACTATGTAAATCAGACTGTCAAGTGGGCTACAATATTATTATTGTTAGTGAGAATATCAAAAGCGTGTTATCACTAGGAGACAATGAGTCACGTAGAGGATATTTAACACACAATCAATGGACGACAAATTGTGAAAATCTGAATGTTTGGCTGTGTGGACGCAACAAGTGGTTGTTTACATAGAGTTTACCGCAGTAACTCTCTGTGGCTAAAGTTTCTCTACATTTGTTGTTTTATTGTTTGTTTGTTTCTTAAGTGCATCATCCATATCTTTTGGTTTGAGTGGGGGGTGGGGGTGGGGGATGAAGAAACATAGAACACGTGTGTGAATTGTGGAAGAGGAGCACAGTATTGTAGCGTCATTTATGAACTTTAAAGCCTTAATTTATTTATAACAAACTATGAATGGAAAGATGAAAGAATTCCTAGTTTTGACGAAGGCAACTTGATTCACCCCACAAGAGGTTCATCATAACAAGACAATCATTCTACATAGGACCTAACTATACATTTTATTAAGGATTAACTAAGTGTGAAATGGTAAATAAAACTTTCAACAACTTCTACATAAAAAATCAACAATGACACACACCTGCACGAGACAGTAATTATTGGCGTCCTCTTTATAAAGGCCGTACTTGTCCAGCATTTCTCCCACCACACTGAGGGCATTATCCCTAATAGACAGAAGCAACGTCTTGTAAGGCACATCAGGACGAAGAGATTCACCATAAATCTGGAAAAATACAATGTATATATTATATCCATACATAAAGAATTGTGTTATATTTCTTGTAACTGTATCTACCATTATGTTATCTATGTACTGTGCTGTTTATTGATACTGTAGTGAAATATTAATCTGACAGTACAGAGGAGGAGGAGGAGGAGGAGGAGGAGGAGGAGGAGGAGGAGCTGGAGGAGGAAGAGCTGGAGGAGGAGATGTTGAGATGAATCAGCCTACAACAGGAGATGATACTGAATAATTGTTTGAATATCAGCAAAAACAGAAATCTTATCACATTATTAAATAGGGAGATACTACATGAGGCGAATGAATCAAGGTACAGTACAGGTATTTGAGCTTTCCCAATACTGTATATAGTCCCATGATAAACACTGGGATGAGTTAGCAAATCATCCCAGGTACTCTCTCACTGTACCTGCTGTTAGTTACCTTTTTCAACTTAAATTCGATTCTGCATTAATTCTTACAATATTACACAGATGTATTTAACTCTTAGCAACTCTATTATCAACTCAAGTGGACATGAAGCACAGAGTTACTTGAGTTACATGTACTGTACTGTATCTCATTTGTCTTTTTTTTTCTGTGCACAATAAAAGATGTTGCATGTACAGTTGTGGATAAAAAGAATGTGGCAAGATGGGAGGGAATGCAAGCTGGGTCTGCCTCATAATAAAACGAAATATACATCAACTTCTATGTAATGTTGCCAAGTCACCACCTACAGTACCTCTACCCTCCCATCCACCACCTACAGTACCTCTACCCTCCCATCCACCACCTACAGTACCTCTACCCTCACATCCATCACCTACAGTACCTCTACCCTCACATCCACCACCTACAGTACCTCTACCCTCCCATCCACCACCTACAGTACCTCTACCCTCCCATCCACCACCTACAGTACCTCTACCCTCCCATCCACCACCTACAGTACCTCTACCCTACCATCCACCACCTACATTGCCTCTACCCTCCCATCCACCACCTACAGTACCTCTACCCTCCCATCCTACCTACAGTACCTCTACCCTGTACCTCTACCCCTCACACCCACCACCTACAGTACCTCTACCCTCCATCCACCACCTACAGTACCTCTACCCCTGTACCATCCCATCCACCACCTACAGTACCTCTACCCTCCCATCTTTTTTTTTTTTTCCCGGGCATTAGCCCATCCAGGCACAGGTCACTGACCCACATCGGGGCCTGGGGGGCAAAAATGTAATAATAATAACAATAACAATAACAATAACAATAATAATAATAATAACAATAACAACAATAATAATAATTATAATAATAATAAATATAATAATAATAATAATAATAACAATAAATATAAGAATAATAATAATAATAATAATAAATATAATAATAATAATAATAATAATAATACAGTGACCCCTCGTTTAACGAACACCTCGGTTAACGTAATTTCGATTAACGAACTGCCTTCCATAAGGATCTTCAATTCGGTTAACGAAGTTCTTACGAACCGACCTCAACATGTTTTCGCTTGCACTGACCGGGCAACCAGCTTTAGTATCAGTCCGCCAATACAGTAATCGGTTCTAGGACTTAAATTCCTTACTATTTTAGTAAATATCAAGAAGTTTATACTATTCAATAATTTTAAAAGTTTAATATTCAATTTTTTAGTCATTTTAACAATTATTGAACATAATTGAAGGTAAAGTGACTAGTTTAATGCGGCATCCAGCCTCTTAACACAGCAAACAGGAGTTAGTCTCTCTGTTTTCACTGGAGGTAACATCTTGCTTGAGACTCTCTTCAACTAAACGCTTTTTTTCTGTGTTTCCAAGAAAATTATTGGTCATTTTGAAATATATTTTACATATTGACAATATATAATGCAGTGCAGTGTTGATTTAAAGAAAATAATCTTGAATTACACCAAGAGAGCTAAAATTTTATGGGTGAAATGGCGCCATGGGGTGACTTCTCTTCCACCCCAATGCCTTCTCTTCTTCCTTCTCCTCCACCCCCATTCTAAATCCCATCATCATCATCATCATCATCAGGAGCCTTCTACATACACACCTCAAAGTAAGTGAACTTTTCTACCATTTTTGTTGAATTTAGGAAATTTTCGGTGAGCTGGAACCAATTACCCAAAAACCCATTGAAACAATGGTTTCGGTTAACGAACTTTTCGGTTAACGAACGACCTTCTGGAACGGATTGAGTTCGTTAACGGAGGGGTCACTGTATAATAATTCACAGTAAATAAAATTTACAATAAAAAATATAAAATTTAAAACAAAATAATAAAATAATAATTATAATAATAACAAAACTATAATAATAATAATAATAATAATAAAGAACCATAAAGAAATACAAAAATTAAAAAAAAATCATAAGTGGGAAGTTCACCCCCAACCGGTGACGTCACAACCAATCACAGAGCTATTCACAGTCACGTGACCTTTTAGCAACTTTAACCCTTATTTTTGACACTTTTTGGCCCAATCTATTTAAAACTATCATTACCATAGTGAATTTAAGCGCTTTCTTTACCCATTGACCTGCCAGTTTACGAAAAAATTCCGACCGGCAACTCGTCCATTGTGTGTATATGAGGCAGAAAGTCAGATCATCAACTTGGGACTTGGTCACATATGGCAGCAGGGTCTACCATTAGACAACACAATATGCTTCCAATATCTTCCCAGGTGGTAGTACCTCCCTGTTTGGTAGCTGCCTACTACCTACCACCTACCTCTACCCTCCCATCCACCACCTATCCCTACCCTCCCATCCACCACCCCCCTCTCTCCCTCCCTGTCTGCTGAATCCTTTTTACCCACAACTATACAATCTACCTTGAAGATGATCCAACCATATTCCTCCTACAGTTTACTGAAGAATCCTATATACTGTTCTGGTTATGATGCAGAATGAGGCAGTAAAGAAGGATGTGATGAAGGTGTTTGTGTTTACTGTAATACGAGGATGATCTGGAGTGGGTTGGAAGAGGTCAACAACAAAAAGTGAAGAAGATAAAAGCAAATGGTAAACCTGTAGTAATGAAGATATGTGGAATATTGTTCTTAAAGCTATAATACAACTATTTAAGGGTCTATGATCTAAGCTACAATATAGAAAGGCTTATGGTAAACTTACAAAGCTAAAACAAATTAAATATAAATGATTGAGCTTTAATCCTGTTTTTTAGAAGACAACAATTGCATCAAGAACCTTCTTTATTTAAAGACAACAGTGTAATAGAGAGGGAGGTGCTTGGTATACTAAAACAGGTTTACAGATTAACACTGGCTTGCATTACGAGGGCGGATGAGACTCTAATCCCTCAGTAAGCAGCCTGTAGGACAGGAGCTCTCTGGTTTATGGATGCAGCCCTGTATACTAGATATGATGGACCAACCTTTAAATGTAATTTTACTAACAAAATCTGGACGAGGCAACTCATATATATAGACACCAAGTAATTATACAACTATAGTAAGGTGTCAGCACTAACCTCACGTACTCCCCAGTGCCACACAACAAACTTTATGGACACACGACTCACAAAACCTATCAATGTCCCACAGGTCATGAACCTTGGGAGTGCTGCCCATTTGTGTCAGTCTGACAACCTCAACAATTACCTTAACTATATAAACTCTGGAAGCTTCACACTATACAGAGTTAGTACAATACCTATCAATGAAACTGTACTATAGGCCTGATATGATCTTGAACCCCTTCAGGTGATTTTATTCATGAGAGAGCAGACCCCATACACAAATGGTTAACTACTCTCACTGGAACTATTCTCCTTTTTCCTAAACAGAATGGATATAGAATCCCTAGAAAGAATTCAGAGGAGAATGACAAGACTAATCCCAGGCATGAGGAACCTTGAGTACAGAGACAGGTTAAAGCATCTTAATTTGCACTCCCTCAAGAGACGTAGAGTGAGGGGCGACATGATAGAGGTGTATAAATGGAAGTCAGGGCTAAACAAAGGTAACATAACAAAGGTACTCAAACTATCCAACCAGGAGCGAACTCGTAACAATGGTTTTAAATTAGATAAATTCAGATTTAGGCGCGAAATAGGTAAACATTGGTTTGGAAATAGAGGAGTGGATGAGTGGAACAAGTTACCAAATATCATCATTAACTCGAATACGCTGGATAGCTTCAAATATAGATAGGATGGATATATGAGCGATAGGAGTTGGGTGTAAACGGGACTGCCCAGTATGGCCCGCTGCAGTTTCCTTCATTCTTATGTTATTAAATGTCTTCCCGCCTAAATCTAGAAGCCTTACTCTTAGATAAAAGTTTAAGACCTCGCATAAGACTTGTCCAGGTGAGAGGAGAACCAAAAGAGACAAGACAACTATAGACCCCATCCCTTCATAAAGCTGCAACTCCCTCACCTTTCACCATGAAGTTAAAGTTACCAAGAAAATTAATTACACTGAAACTCATTCCTATTACCAATCAACAAAGTTCTCAATAGAATCAATGAACCAATATAAACATTGTTAATACGAAGGTTAGGGATTCACTTTGTATATACACACAAGAAGAGTCTAAGAGGTGCGTTTCAACTTCTTGTTTCCGTTCTTTCTTGTCACTTTCTACACTTTCCTTGCACACTACCACATCCCCCTTTCTTGTCCCAGCCAACACAGCAAACAGGAGAGGAGTAAATACAGGTAGATGATCTCACCTTCAGAGTGCCACCTGTGTCAGGACCACCGTCTTTACTTCGGAACTGCTGCAGTTTCTTCTCCAGCTTCTGTGCTCTTCTCCGTCTCATCACCGCCTCAGGGTTACTGATGCTGCGAGTGAAACTTGTCTCTGGTAATTCTGTAAGAAAGTCTATATTTAATCATTAGCTTAAGTAATCTACATACATAGTACAGCACAGTGCATAGGTGATGATAATGTGTGAATCTTGAAGTGGGGAGCAAAACAATGAGTAAAGGGAGACAACAAGTGGTAAGAGAAAGATGTGAGTGTATCATATTCTATACAAAGCAAAAGATGAAGGAAAAGGATAATTTGACAAGACAAAAATCCATCTAATTAAAAAATATGTAATAACCCAGTTTTCTTGTGCTGTCCCGTGTTCATATATCTATTGCAGGATATAATCAGACATTTGTTAGGGCGAAGCAACGTCCATCATGAGTATTTTACCTCATATTATTTACTTATTTTTCAGCAATGGTAATAATGCCTAGCCATCCTTAAACCTACTTCCTGTACCTCATCTCAGACTGGAAAAACACACACATACACCCTGAGGCATTTGTAGGTTCCATAGACTTTAGCAGAGTGATAATAAAGAGACCTCATCCACCACTTGCTTCCTGGGTATTCTCTGCTGCAACCTAGAGAGCTGTAAGACCTTTGTGGCTCACCTTAATAGATTTCATAAAACCACAATGTAATTATCAAAACAGTCATCAGTCTCAGGGATATTTTTAAGTCTCATTTCATGGTTTATGGACATCCTTAGTGAATATTCTTAAGCTAATGGTACCTCTCTGTTTCCTCAATCTCAATTGTAAACAGTAGGTGGAGGAGAATGAGGAATAGGCCAAGAATGACATGGGGACGGGTTGTAAGGAATGTCATCAAAGCCTTGAACCTGATGAGAGAGATTACAAGAGACCGTGCAGCATGAAGAGCTGCCATCAGGTAATTACAGCTAAGCCAGGGAAGCGTAGAAAAAGGCCATAAAACATTGATGATGATGAAGAGTGTTTCATGTACAGCTCTCCTATAAAAATTGTCCTCTTCCTCTACTTTACAAAGAGGAGTTTATTATTCTGTAAGGACTGTTGATTATATAAATTAGTATGCATGGCACTTTAATATGTCTAAGGTTACATAAAGATCACCCCATTTAAAAACCCTTCTGCAGAGCTCTGGGAACATTTATTTCCACATTTTTTTTAGAGTTGGGTAATATAACTAACAGGTCATTTACTGAACCTATAATTTTAAACTGGAGATTGGATCCTGAAATGCCATCCTTATGACGAAGGAATATAAAAAGTGAATGACCCGACTCCTCCCCCCAGGTCATAAGACACATGGTTTAAAGTGAGGTTATCTCCTGGATGCCTCACTGTCTGTTTGAGGAAAATGAGGATGTTGGTGAGAGACTTAAGCCAGGACATGAGACATTTCCCCTTTAAATGATAACAGTCTTTCAAGTGAGAACCAAGTTTATTAACGAATTTTGAGATCCAATTATAGAGAGTTCAAAATTGTGTATATTTTAACTAAACTTCGCCAGTGAGTCCCAGTATAACAAGATGGCTCTGACATAAAGGATTAGTAAGATCCCAGTATCACAAGTCATCTGTTTTCCTTCTCAGTCATAAAATAAGATCCCAGGTTTCATTCTCTTATTTTCTGGATACCAAAATGTCTTACAGCCAAAGTCCTAATAATGTATATTGAAGAACTAAGAGGAATATTTCTCTTGTATAATTTATAGTTTAGGAATGAAGTTTTTTGGACAGCAATAGGAAAAGTTATCAGCCCAGAGTATAAAGGAACTGGTTACAAAATATATCACGGTTAAAATCCTACCACAGTAATTGTATACAATACTGTACACACACTATAGTCAGTTGCTTTTTTAGTTGATGGTTCAAGCCCCGCCCCTTCTTGCAGCTCATTGGTTCATACATAATGTTTGATTAATATTGAAATATCACAAATAAATTCACATACAACTGTTAGGGATACCCAGTTCTGACTCATTTCAATGCTGAATTTAATGTATGTAAAGATATAACTGCTTGAAAACTTTATCTTTCAAGATATGAGAGGAAAAAGTTCGAAATATTTACCGTCGAAATCCACAAACAAATTCACACCTTGTACCGTCAACTAAAAAGTACTGTACGACTGTATAAGCAAATCATTCACATTGAGGTTAGTACTGTACTGATACTCTTTGAACGTGACTTTACTGTACCTGTATACAACTTCTCTGCCACCGACGAGTCTGCTTCATTTGCTTCATTAGCTCGCCGTAGTTTCTCTTGCTTCTTGAGTTCTTTCTTCTCACGTTTGGACAATTTACGCTGGAACGGCTGTTCTTTGGTGGGTATGGGTGTGGTAGGGTGAGGGGGTAGAGTGCTGACTATTGAAGAACCACCCTGCAATAACATCTTCTGGTTACTTGCAGGTTTTTAAGCCTGCCAAACTCAAAGGGGACTTCATCACAGCTCAGTGTAACACAACACTGCCCACTGTCTACACTCCTATTTCCTCTCCAGTTTTATATGCGAGTTTTCTGGCATAATGAATTAATAATTTTGCTAAGAAATGAGCTATATACGACTAAAATAAAAACTATACTAAAGTCGTTTGGTTAATTAACTAATCAATCCTTGCATATTGATTTCCATTATGTAGTCTTCTACCGAGCAGGATGATCATGTGCACAACACCACCACAACCTCCTCCACAACACAAGGCCTCTCCTCGCCCTCCTTCTGTGGCACTCTGGGAAGGCTTACAGATCTCCTTTAAACAGTTTGTATTATGATAACTACACAATGGAGGTCATCTTGGCTGGGATGGAACCTTACAGCCTAGCACCCACTGTTTCCTCTCACTATTGACTTGATTACTGTAGCTCTGACACATACCATGCTAGAAATAGTGAGTAACAGGCCATGAAATACTTCCCCTCCCATCATACCAATTCCGCCTTTATTTCCACTTAGAATAACAAATCCATTTTCACTGTTTGTAGCCTACCCACCCACCCACCCACCCACACACAATAAGCCTTCAGTATACCATCATCAGTCTCCAACATGCCTCTACACTCACATACCTAACCCTCTACAGCATCTTCTCTCTATCTACCTCTCACATTCCTCTACATTATCTCAGCACCTCTACTCCTCCCTCCTCACTGTGAATCTTTCTGAGACACAGTATGGGACTCTTTCTAGTTTATTTCCGTCCAACCACATCCAACGTTCTACCTGCATTTACTTCTTTGATATCTGTGATGCTGGGACTATTTCAGTGCTAAATAATGAGTGTCAGATGCAGCATTTTGTGACTTGAAACAGCATCAGCACAAATTACCGTTTGTGGACTGTATTTTTCATCATAATTATGTACCATAGAGCATGTAATTTCTAAAGTAAATTAGACTTTTTTACCATTACTGCCTGTACTATAATTATCACTATATCTACCCTGTCGTCTGATAACTCATTCTCAACACTGTTCATTATATCATCACTAATAACTTAATCTTTAATAAATATCTAACTTATATAGTCCCTGTCCACACTCTTGGTAAACTTTCTTCAGTGATGAGAATAACAGGTTTAGTTTGGTTGGTTGGTTGGTCTGAAATACAATTGGTATAGTAGCCCTGTTTGTGGAACATTATACTGTAGCGATTTACTGTATTACTGTAGCGATTTAACTAGATTTATTAACTTATCATGGGATATTTATAGAACCATCTTTCAAATACAATACAACATTGACTGAGTAACCTTCACAACAGTCATTATAAATATACAAATTACGTTATGTTGCAGTTCATGTATTCACTCTACTTAAATGAACAATTTGGCAAACTGGAGGTCAATAAAGTTCTATCTATGAATGTAAATGTGAAAAAAAAAAATTAATAGGTGACACAAATAAAGGTCACACAGGTGTACCTCGTATGAAATGCCGGAATTGTAGAGGTCCATCCGGCGGAGGAGAAACCTGCCCTCCCGATCATCTTTGTTCCAGTTTAGTTGTACTAGGAGAGGCTTCTCGTCCTCAGCAAGGCGACGTTCTTCTGCAATAATTACTCACATTAGCCATGAGCACCGTTCTGTCGTCTTACCAAGCATTATGCACATTAAATTAGGAAAAAAATTGTGTAAGTGAATCTCTCTTATCCTCTCTCTCACGCATTCTCTCTCTCTCTCCCTCAACTCAATAATACGCATTAAACAGCTAAACATTTTGATAAAACTTGTAGTGTGTGTGTGTGTGTGTGTGTGTGTGTGGATATAATCTAACAAGCTCATGGGAAAGTTATAATATTAAAATCTTCTTTCTTTACCCTGAGGACTTAGCCCTTTGAGTACAATGTCTTAATCCCTTGAGTATAATACATTTATCCCTTGAGTATGATGCCTTAACCCCTTGTGTATGATGCCTTAACCCCTTGTGTATGATGCCTTAACCCCTTGTGTATGATGCCTTAACCCCTTGAGTATAATGACTTAATCCCTTAAATACAAATACTTCACCCCTTTATAACAATGCCATCATACTCAAGGGGTTTAATACATCATACTCAAGGGGTTAAGTCATCATACACAAGGGGTTGTCATCATACTCAAGGGATTAAGACATTGTACTCAAGTTGTCTGGTGGGGGAAGTTGTCTGGTGGGGGGGAAGTTGTCTGGTGGGGAAGTCTGGTGAAGTTGTCTGGTGGGGGAAGAAGGTAAGTTGAAGTTGTCTGGTGGAAAGTTGTCTGGTGGGGGAAGTTGTCTGGTGGCGGGAAGTTGTCTGGTGGGGAAGTTGTCTGGTGGCGGGAAGTTGTCTGGTGGGGAAGTTGTCTGGTGGCGGGAAGTTGTCTGGTGGCGGGAAGTTGTCTGGTGGGGGGGAAGTTGTCTGGTGGCGGGAAGTTGTCTGGTGGTGGGAAGTTGTCTGGCGGGATTTTATGGGATTTCTTGGTCAGGTTTTGTGGCCATGAACTGTGGCAACAACACTGACCAGACCCTCTGTTGTGTCCTGTGTTGCCCCTGGGTATAACACAAGGGCGAATTTGGGCGAAGGGAGGTGGAGGGGGGACTCAAGGGTAAACGCCCCCCTCTCCCCCCCTAATTTCCTGTCAGCAGTAAATATTTCCCTTATTTCCCTAAACGGAAGCTCTGTTATATTGGTTCATTTTGCATCTCTGGCCTTTTCTATGACTCCAGGCTTATGAGAACCAAAGTGACCCCCAGTTAAGGCCACCCTGAGGACTACCAGCCCCACCCCCCCCTAATCTCATATTCTGAATTACTGAAAAAGACATATAGATGTGTATATCCGTAGTGTGTGAGTGTGTTCGTTTTGTTTTACATTACACACACACACACCGTAATTACACGAGTATATTATTTCTTTATATATCAAATACTGTCACTGAGATACTTGGTCTTTCTCGCATCATCACCCCTTAAGAGTTACTACGTTACTAATACGTTAACCATGATGACGGTAGTAACGTGAGAGGAAATGTCTACCACACCACCACACCCAGTAGATCACCGTCACAGCCTGCGCCAGGGAAGGTAAACATGCCGGCTAAAATTGCCATGGAAACCGCAAAGCTTCCACCAGGTCTAACGTCTCGTGAGCAGCTGTCGACCAATAAACCAGCGACGCGCGGGAAGCTTCCTGTGGGAGGGATTTATTTCCCAGATTGTAAACCCAGCCCAATCACACGCCCACTTCCTCCCGGGCACACGTCAACATCTATGAATAACACCTGACAATGAATTTAAATAACTCCTAACTATTCCGCCAGCTGTTGTCTGTGTTCTTCTGTGAGGACTGACACGTTTATCTAGTGCCATGATTAGTCTGAATTTATTATAATAAAGAAAAACATGTTCCCCACCCTCTTTTTTATTCAATGGCTTGCGTAACAAATTTATCTAATGAAACTGCACTTAGTATTTATTTATACAAAACAGATACTTAAATTTTATTCTCCGTGGAAACAAAAACACGATGTAGACGATCTAACAACAATAGCGTAGCCTCGGGGTGGACTGAGTAGGGTTTATGTAACGGAACAAACATACCGGTATATTATAAATAGCTAACACCCTGTCAGTATTCACGGTTCGGTTAGATTAGGTTAGTTATAAGAACATAAGAAAGTGGGATACTGCAGGAGGCCGACTGGCCCATACAGGGCAGATCCCTTTCACATCCATCCCAGCACTTCCATGTGCCTATCCAACTTCGTCTTGAAGCTCCCAAGCGTACCCGATCCTACTATAGCACTCGGTAGCCTATTCCACATATCCACAACTCTATTACCAAACCAGTGCTTGCCTATATCCTTTCTGAATTTATCTAATTTAAAGCCATTTGTTCTAGTTATTTCGTTATTACTGAGCTTCAGAACATCTTCCATTTTACCCTTGTTAATCCCACTTACCCACTTGAACACCTCTATCATATCTCCCCTAACTCTACGCCTCTCTAATGAATGCAAGCCTAAGCTTTTCAGTCTTTCTTCATATGGAAGGTTTCTAATATTATGGATCATTTTTGTCATTCTTCTTTGTACTCTCTCCAAAGAATCTATGTCCATTCTATAATAAGGACACCAGAATTGAACCGCATAATCCATGTGTGGCCTCACTAATGCTAGGTAAAGTTTCAAGATAACGTCAGCAGTTCTGTTACTCACACTCCTAGATATGAACCCAAGAATCCTGTTTGCCTTGTTGCGAACGCTAATACATTGTTTTCTAGGTTTCAAGTCGTTGCTAACAAATACACCTAGATCTTTTTCACAATCTGAGTTTTCTATTTCCGAGTTACCTAGTTTATACTTAACGTTTGTATTCGTCTTCCCTATCTGTAGTACCTTGCATTTATCAGTATTAAAATTCATTTGCCAGTCTACTGACCACTCATGTAAGGTATCTAGATCTCTTTGAAGGTGTTCAAAGTCACTGTCTGAATTTATCACTCTCCCCATTTTGGTATCATCTGCAAATTTACTAATCCTACTAGTTATACCTAAATCAAGATCATTAATGAATATAACAAACAGCAGAGGGCCTAATACAGATCCCTGGGGAACTCCGCTTTTGACCGCACCCCAGTCTGACTTAAATCCATTTATGCTGACTCTTTGTTTCCTACCAGTTAACCATGACCTAATCCATTTTAATAATGATCCACCTATTCCATGTGCTTCTACCTTCCTTATCAATCTCTCATGAGGGACTCTATCGAATGCTTTACTGAAATCTAAATAAATTATATTATATGACTTATCATTATCTACCGCTTCAAATATTTCTGAGAAAAAGCTAAGCAAATTTGTGAGACAAGAACGTCCCTGGGTGAACCCGTGCTGAGAAGAACGAATTAAGTTGAATGTTTCAAGGTGGCTTCTGATTTTCGTAACAATAATTGACTCTAGCAACTTGCCTATGATTGACGTGAGACTAATGGGACGGTAATTTGATGCAATTTATTTATCACCTTTTTTGAAAATCGGAACTACATTTGCAAGTTTCCAAGCTTCTGGCACTAGGCCCGATTCTAATGACTTATTAAATAAAACTGCTAATGGATTACTCAACTCATCTCTACATTCTTTTAATATTCTAGCATATACCTCGTCTGGACCAGGCGATTTATGAGGCTTCAGTTTGTTAATTTCTTTAAGCACATCGTTACTAGTAATATTGATATTCATCAACATATTTTCTATACTGTCGTTATATACCTTATGAACTTCTGGTAACTGTGCTAGGTTTTCATTTGTGAATACGGAGCGAAAATGACTATTTAACGTACTACACATTTCTAACTCATCATCAGTCATTTCTCCTGTCGTAGTTTTAAGGGGACCTATTGTATCTCTAACCTTTGATTTATACAGTTGATAAAAAGTTTTGGGTTATTTTCGATTCGTTTGCTACCTTGATTTCCTAATTTCTCTTTGCTTTCCTAATTTCTGTTTTTACCTGTCTTGTTAGGTTCTGATAGTAACCAAGTAAGTGATTTTCGCCTTTCTTAACTTTTCTATATACTCCTTTCTTTTTCCCTAGAAGATCTAAGAGTCTATTATTCATCCATTTTGGTTGGTTCCGTATCGATCTGAATTTTCTTTTAGGGATGTGTTTATGTGAAACAAAACTTATCCCTCCCTTCCAATTCTTGTTATTATCGTTTATAATTCTCTATTCATTTTTCGTCTATTTGAGACAGAACACAGCACCAGCCACACTGCCTCCTTCATGTACAAGAAAAAGGTTTTAGTATCCATTAAGTTGTGTCCACAGTATCTCTAAGGGCTCGCCAGGATCTACTGTGACGTTTTACCACAAGATGATTCCAATTGATTTCATTATTAACGCAGTTCATTATTATTTGTCCTATTTTGAAATACGTTTGACGTTTGATCGATCGTCCGTCTCCTTGTTAGTGGAGGGGGGGGGGGAGAAAATATAACATCTGGCTACGGTAAAATCTCGGTGCAATTTAGATGCTATTCTGGTTATCATCTCCACGTGGTTGTCTAATTAAGGTGTGTGATCAGATTACTAGCTAGAAATATCAAGTCTTTCATACAGGTGAGGTAGTATAGGTATCTCTCAAGCTGTTCCTTCAGTAGCAACACACCCATTGATGTTTCTCTCACCCCCCAGACAGTTCATACACATTACTAGGCCAGTGATCTAGATAAGCCAAAGGTGATGAAACCAATAGGAATACAAAAGGTTTATATCTTTAGGGACTCATAAAAATAGCTCCAGCAGTCAGTAATAGTAGGCGTTAAGTCACTCACCTCCGTTCTCGTGTATCTCGTAGAGGGCGTACTCGGGGATGGACAACATACGCATATCCGGCCTAAACTTCTCGACCAGTGTCTCGATGACGTAGCGGGAGTTGGCGGTGCTGGGGACGCGGATGCACTTGGTCGCCACCTTCTGTCCGGAGTCTTGGAAGTAGAACCTCATCACCCCGTGGAATTCCAGCTCCTGTAAGACAACACACACACGTTAATATGTTTATCACCATGACTTAAAACTATATTAATTACTTAGAGAATTAACGTGACTTAAATCCTCGTAAAGCTTATAGACATTAGGTGCTTATTACACTGTAAACAAGCGCCCTTTCACACACACAGAGGCATTATTCTCCACAGCAGAGTTGTCAGTAATCAATATCAATCACCGCTGTAGGACGCCAACCTTATGCAGATGTGAAGCCTTAGTAGTGGTACTTACTAAACCTGGAACACTACCCTCCCCCCACCCCTACACACACACACACACTTATGTATCACCAGTGCCCAAGTCAACCAGCCCACAATCCTTAAATCAGCTACGACCTATTGCAATCACCCCAATACCCAGCCTAATCTGTGAAAGTTTTGTGTTCGACTGGGCTTATGCTGATATTGCAGGAGTCGTAGACCAGCAATTTGCAACATGAAAAACTTCCCACCACTCACTGTCTTGTCAGCTTTCTCGATTACATATACCGCCATCTCGAGAAACGAAAACGTCTGTAGCTGTCGCCTTCATTGATTTCACTAAAGCTTCGACCTAGTCGACCACAATATAATCATCAACAAAGCTATTGACCTCGGCTTCGAGAAATCTTATACCATGGCTTGCTAGACTTCCTCAGTGACCGACGCTGCTTGCACGCTTCCGAGGGGCTGTCTCCCCACCTTTTAGTCACTCACCTGTGGCGTCCCCAAGGCACCAAGATGGGACCACTTGCTTCCTTATGCTCATCAATGATGCCCCTAAGAGAAACCCCTGCTCGCTGGAAATATGTCGACGACTCCACCATTGGGACTCAGCGTCAACAATTCTGCTCCCAACCATACCGCCCTTCAGGATTTATTGAACAGTCTCCAAAACTGGGCCACCAACAACCATGTCACCATCAACCATACCAAGACCATGGTTATGCACATCAACCTCTCCTCCGACATTGTCCCACCTCCTTCCATTACTCTAGGTCCGAACACACTCCAGGTTGTAGATTCCACGAAGCTCCTCGGCGTCACCATAGACAACAAACTAAATTGGAAACCACACGTCAGTGAAGTTGTCAAGTCCTCCAGTTTCCGTCTCCACCTCCTCCGCCGACTCAAGTCCCTCGGAGTTCCTGCACCCGAGCTCCTCAGTGTTTACTCAACATTCATACTTCCCAAGCTCACCTATGCCTCCCCACCTGGTCTTCCTCCCTAAATGCCACACAACGTAAACACCTAGAAAAAGTGCAAAAGAGGGCATGCAAGATTATTCTCTCCCCTTCCTACTCCACATATCAAGAAGCGCTCAACACACTGACCCTTTCTGACCTCATACTGACCATCACCACGACCTCATCTGCAAATTTGGTAAGAAGCTTCTGCACCATCCTCGACACCGGCTCCTACTACCACCTGAGATCCCTAGCCCGAGAATTGCTGTTCGACACCACAACCGCATCCAGCCCATACGTGCACGAACTGATCGCTATAAGAACAGCCCAGTCCCAACCATTGTAAAAATTATCAATAACTTGTAATAAACCAGTGTATTCACTCCCAGTAAACACTACTCCTTGCACTGTCACTATGTTGAAATGAACTGTAGTTTGAGCTTTTCCCCATCTAGTTATTATATGTCTTATTTGTGTCACTTATGTTACTTGAATATTATTTGTAATTCGAAACCCATTCCCCAAATATGTAACTGTATATTTTCAGCCTTCTGGCTGCCAAGCTCTTTCAATAAACCGTTAATTATTATTATTATTATTATTACACACTACTATTTTACTGTCACTCAGAATCCAGTATGACGATCATCCAGCTCTGATACAATGACACGAGTTATTGAGGATGTCACCTTAGTTGGTCAGCTCTGAGGTGACTAAAGAGGCCGATACAGGACCGGCAGGGTCGTCCACAACACAGGTCACCTGAAGAATCTCCACCCCACCCTATTTCACCTCAATATTAACCACCCTAACACTATTTGGTGGAATGAAGTGAGGTTAGGTTATTTTACCAGCCTGGGAAGATATTGGAAGCATAATGTGTTCTCTAATGGTAGACCCTGCTGCCTTATGACCCAGGTTGCTGATCTGACTTTCTGCCTCATTTACACACAATTGCAGGGTCTCAATTGTTTCTCTCACTGTAGACAACAAACATATATTGTTTCTCACTAGATCTTTTTTTCTTTCTTTTTTGTATTTATCTAATGGTCGTTTATTATTATTATTATTATTATTATTATTATACAGTACTGTAATATATTTTGATTTCATATTTTTTTATAGTTTTTATTAATTATTATTATTAGTATTTTTATTATATTTTCGCCTTCAGGCTCTGGTGTGACCTGTCCCCTGGTGGGCTAATCCTGTTAAAAAAATCCTTGGCGATAAAAAGGCATACACCTGAATATTAATCACCACCTTCACAACACAGGTAAGGACTCTACCTGGGGTGAGTGGAAATAAAGTCACAGGAAAAAAATCACTCACATGACTTGTACACATTGACAACACAATACATATATATATGATGACATTGCACGTAGGTTAGGTTAGGTTTTTTCCGCGCCTTTTCTTGTGACTTTTTCCGGATTCTTCCCTGGCAGCAACCTACACCCCCACACCTTGTCTCTCTCTACCTTACACAGGCTCAGTACACAGCCACTAACACCCACACGGCCACTAACACCCACACGGCCACTAACACCCACACGGCCACACAACAACACCTTCAGTACATAAAGAAGGTAAATATTTAATCTACGCAGAGTAAATCGTAGCTTGGGTGACGTGAGGGCCAGAGAGGTATAGGTGTGGGGGGGAGAGGGGAGGAAGGGGTAGAAGAGGGAAGAGGAGAGGAGGGCAGAGGGGAGGAGAGAGGGGGAAGAGGGGAGGTAGAGGAGTGAAGAGGGAAGAGGAGAGGAGGGGGAAGAGGAGAGGGCGACGGAGGGTCTTACAAGGCAGAAGCCGTACAAGTGGCTACAGTCGTCCAGCTCCCCGTAATCCCCGACACACGCCAGGCAGGAATGTGTGACCCAGAGAGAGACTCCACCTCGCGTAGTCGACGGTACTGTACTAACCCGCCCTCACCCTTCTTCCGGTCCCCACCACCACTACTACAACGTGTGTGTGTGTGTGTGTGTGTGTGTGTGTGTGCGTGTGAAATACTGCCTATATCTACCGACACAACACCTGAAGGAAGCCATTACAACACCTCTGCTAACCTAACCTAACCAACCTACATAATCATTCAAAACAAAACACTGAAAGACCATCAATATCCACGTACAAAACATCACCTTGACCCCAGCAGCAGGTGTGAGGCGGCTCCTACAGGTGTGGTAATAACAGGTGGCCGACGACTCAGGTGATCTTGGCAAGGGCGGATCCAGGGGGTCCGAACCTCCCTTCTCACCAGAAAAATACATTATTGTACTCAGGCGTTTTTGTATTGTAAAAAGTGATTACTATTGACTTCAGATTATCTCTTATTACCAGGTGCGCATGGCCTCAAAATGAACATGATATTTGTCAGATTTAAAAAATAAGAGGGCTAACAGGTGGGTGGGCTGACTGTGCTCGCCATGTTCCCCCCACCCACAACTTCTTGGACTCCCCCCCCACCCTTTTCATATTCCTGGATCCGCCCTGCTTGAATTAGGTTAGGTTTGGCTACCAAGAGTATTAACCGTGTGACACCTGAGGACTCAGTGTGGCACCTGTGTGTTCTGTTACAGTCAGGGGAACAATGATTAGAAGACGCTATAACTTAGCTGGGGAACACAACACACAGCTGGGGAACACAACACAACACACAGCTGGGGGAACACAACACAACACACAGCTGGGGGAACACAACACAACACACAGCTGGGGGAACACAATACAACACACAGCTGGGGAACACAACACAACACACAGCTGGGGAACATAACACAACACACAGCTGGGGAACACAACACAACACACCACACACCTGGATAACAACACAATACAACACACCACACACCTGGATAACAACACAACGCAACACACACCTGGATAACAACACAACACAACACACCACACACCTGGATAACAACACAATACAACACACCACACACCTGGATAACAACACAACACAACACACCACACACCTGGATAACAACACAACACAACACACCACACACCTGGATAACAACACAATACAACACACCACACACCTGGATAACAACACAACACCAACAGCTGGGGAACACAGCACAACACACCACACACCTGGATAATAACACAACACAACACACCACACACCTGGATAACAACACAACGCAACACACCACACACCTGGATAACAACACAACACAACACACACTGTCTGTATTAGTGTACACACAGTATCTGGACGGCGTGGGAGAGGGAGGAACTCCTGACACCAGCGCCACCACACGGGCCTCCTACAGGACGGTCTTCCTCCCCACAACACACCTGACGACTCCAGATGTAGCTAAATCATCACAGCGTTGATTATTATGTGAGAGCAGACCCGAGACAGGTAAGGTGTGAACTGAGACACGAACCAATGACCCATAGATCAGGAGGCGAGTTCTATATCCACACAGGTAAACAGTAAATAATGTACAGTAGAAGACGAGATGAGGCCATACAAGATCTCACACACACACACACACACACCTAGAACATATGAACATAAGACTGGAGGACACTGCAGCGGGCCATACTGGGCAGTCCCATTTACACCCAACCCCTATTGCTCATATATCCACCCAACCTATGTTTGAAGCTATCCAGCGTATTAGAGTTAATGATGATGTTTGGTAACTTGTTCCACTCGTCCACTACTCTATTTCCAAACCAGTGTTTACCTATTTCGCGCCTAAATCTAAATTTATCTAATTTAAAACCATTGTTACGAGTTCGCTCCTGGTTGGATAGTTTGAGTACCTTTGTAATGTCCCCTTTGTTTAGCCCTGAC